TGGCCCCACCTGCGTCAAACTGGGCCAGTGGGCTAGCACCCGGAGGGACCTCTTCTCCGAGGCCTTCTGCGATGAGTTTTCCAAGCTGCACGTCGAGGTGAGCCCGCACCCGTGGGGCCACACCACTGAGCTCCTAAGGAAGGCCTTTGGTGAGGACTGGACGGGCATTCTCAAGTTCCAAAGCCAGGAGCCGGTTGGCTCAGGCTGCGTCGCCCAGGTGTATAAAGCCTATGCTGACCTCACAGCTATCGCTGGCTCCCAGGCCAAGGAGCTAGCACGAAGCTCGGAGTTACGGTCCGCTTTCGAAGCGTGGGAAGTGTCAGGCTTCAGAGGCCTCCTCAGGTGGCTGAGGAGAAGGAAAAGCGAGGAGATGTGGGATGACAGGACCAGGGAGGAGCTGAACCCAGCAGACTGCTGCCAGGGAAGTCCAGTGAGTGGACTGGCCAAACCACTCCTGAATGCAAATCCTTCATCAGCCAGACATCTCACGCCTGTAGCCATTAAAGTAAGTCATACATCTGGCTGGTAGATGTGTGAAAATGGTGTGTGCTGGACAAGGCTGGTCAGATTTTGATTCCCATGGAGGTGGGTGGCTGGCTAGGGCCAGGTAGAGCAAGAGAAGTGATGCTCGTCTCCCTCGGTGTCTTTTCTCAGCACTTTGGTTCCAGCCAGCTGCAATCCAGGCTTGTGGTGGCCCCAGCTTTTCCCAGCCCAGAAAGCTCCAATACACATACTGCCTATGGCACCTTTGACGTGGCATGTGGATACCAGAAATGCCTGCAAGGGTCCAGTTTATATAAAAATAATATTAAGCTTGGTTTCACCTTTCAGAAAATGAAGCCCTGTCTCCCCTCACATGAAGAAATCTGTAACAGATAAGTTCTTTCCAGCAAAGGTTTATTTAAACAAATCTTACATTTGAGCTGTTCCAAATACTAGTCAGTACTGCATGTCATGGAGAGAGCGGGAGTGCAAAAGCAGTGGAAAATGGTATTGGGTGAGACTGTAGGTTCCAGCACAGATATATTCCATTTGAAGATTTTAATGTGTTTCTTTGTAGCTTAATCCATGGCAGAATGTGAATTCTTCTGAGGACTAGCTGGGGAAGCCTTGTTAGCTCCCAGTTTTATAGTCTGGGTTCTGTCGACTTGGAATGCATCACTTTAGCTGATCGAAATGGACCATCCTTTTTATAGCGTTTGGGGAGTTGATCTTTCCATCGGTCATTCTTGTGCAGGTCCTGCACCCTGGGCTAGTCCACCAAGTCCAGATGGATCTGTTTCTCATGAAGATGGGTAGCCACATCATTGGACTTCTTCCTGGATTCAAGTGGCTCAGTTTGACAGAGATTGTGGAGGAGTTTGAGAAGCTTATGATTCAGCAGGTGTGTGCCATGCCATGGTCCCTAAGTACTGAAACAAAAATGCCCTTTGTCTTGCTACTGGCTGGCTCAAACTCTGTTCATGCTGCTACTTTTTAAAAGGTTAGATGAAGGCTTGCTTGTTCTTTATTCTGATCAGTCACATAATGTTACTACAGGAAAGCTTACATGTTCTCAGAGTGAAAAAGCAAAGCAGTGAAAAAAATTTAATGATCTTTATTAGATTTAAAAATCATTTATAGACTTTGAGTATGTTTCCAGGTTTTCTAGTGAACAGCCTGAGCAGATAGCTAGCCATAGTCACAGTCCTTTTTGCAGTATTGTGAAAGATGAATGCTGGTGAGAGACCTCTCCTTAGGAGAAGAATCTCTCCAAACAAGTGCTGACATGTATATTTTTGCATTAATCCTACACATGTGTTTGCAGTCTGTACTCACTGGTCATGTTTGTTAGCACTGAGGTACACAATGGCATAACTAATATACTTTCACATAAGTTAATAATACATTCTATATTGTATTGTCATCAGACTAACGGTATTGGTAAAGCTAAGCTTTGCAAATAGATCCTGATGTCCTGATTCACTAATGTCTTCTAAAGACATAGTCCTGAAACATCCTTACTACCAAACATATAAAGATTTCACTACAGGCTTAACTAGGCTTGCGTTTCTATTAAAATGAACCATTATCTGCTACTTTCATTTCTGTGTCTAGATTGCAGAGTCTGAAGTGTGTTCTAAGTTTTTGAAAGACTTAATTCTTTTCTACTGTTGCAAAAAATCTACACGTAAATCCATGTTGTAAACAGTTGACTGTATTCAGATGTGACTCGAAGTCATTAGTACCAGTTTAGTCCGGCAGAGCTTTGGGTGGATGCGCTGAAGACTGAGGATTAGGAGAGCATCCGATAGGCTTGTTGTAATTTTCTTTAATTTCTCTTTGAAAGAACAAGTATTCCTGGGATATTTCCCATTGCCAGATAAGGGAGGTGAGGTGAGGTTATCTTGTCTCCTGGAGTAGCAGCATTGGGCAGGAGATAATGCCCTTGTGTCAAGGCAGTGGATCACTGAAGAAGTAGGGCCAGGACTTCGCATAGTGGATTATCTTGTACGTGTTACATTAAGTTTCTTCCTGCTGTGGCTGCCTATCTGTAAAGTGAGGCTAGGCCTGCCATTCTTTTACCCTGTCTGCCTGCCTTGCTATTTGGATGGTAAGCTTTGGTTCAGGATATGTCTTACCCTTGAAAATAATGCAGTCCTGGTCTTCTTTGGGATGCCATGCCTATATTAAGGGTAACCCATATTTCAAAGGTGCTGGGTTGTGGGCCATCCGTTACCCAGGCTGTTACTCTACTCTTCCATCAGGAAAGCTGTAAGCATGTAAGAAGCACCACTCTATTTTATTTTCATTCTGGCTTTCTGACTAGTTTTGTTGGTACTGCATATTGCACCATACAGTCATATCCTCATACAGGATCCTGAAGATCTAATTCTAATTTAAACTAATTTCCAACCTGCTTTTTCTTTTTCTCCCTTGAGATTGACTTACGTTACGAAGCCAGAAATCTGGAGCGCTTCCAACAAAATTTCTTGGATGTCGATTTTGTGAAGTTCCCAGCTCCCCTTCGGCCTTTGGTAACGACAGATGTTCTAGTGGAAACGTTTGAGGTAAGAATTGCAGGGTCTGGGAGCGGTGGTAGCAGTGAGAAGGCCCTTAGGAGAACATGCCAAGGAGGTGTTTTTTTGAGAAGGAGCCATCAGAGGCAGAAGGATGCTTTTCTCTTATTTGCTTAGAGATTGGTGTCCTTCCTCAGTGTCTCTTCCACTCTCTTTGTTTGTAAACAGTGTATCCCAGAAGACAGGTGGCAGACAGCTCCATGTAGAAGTGAACACTTGGCCTGAAACCAAGCAGACCAGCAGTGTGTCCAGCCACCATGTGCTTGCCTGTGCTTTGCAAACCAACACCACGCTTCAGCTCTTCTCTGTGGTGGGTCAAAGCAAGGAGCTCAGCAATCTGACACTTTCTGATGCTTGCCTCACTTCCCTTGTGGATGTTTGGGTCACAGACCAAAGCTACTATCAGCCTTAGTTTTTGTGCATGTGATCCTGGCAAGAATATTTCTGTCCCAGGCTGTATCACACCCTCTTTCCAAAGAACAAACCCTTGCTTCTCTCATGTTCTCCATCACATTAAGTACAGCCTCTCTTGAGCAGGTCCTTTCTAGGGTATTGTTATCACGTTCCCTCAACTCTGGGCACCTAGGTAAGGGTGTGGTTGAAGAAGGGACACAGGGTGTGTTTGACTCCAGTTCCATCTTTATTTCAGGAGAGTGAGCCTATTTCACACTACCTGCACGCGGAGATTGCCACAGAGCTGAGGCAAAGACTTGCAAAGATGGGCATGGACATGCTGCTAAAGATGGTAGGCACTTGGCTGAGGCTGGAAGTGAAGGTTGTTTTCATGCAGAAGCTATTCAGCTGGGGTAATGAGACAATATGGCTAAAGAGAGAACCTGTTTCCTTCCCACATCTCCTACCTTTTTCCCCATGGACTCAGAGCTGTGCCTTTTGGAGCCAGCCGGTGGATGCCAGGTATCTCGCAGTAACCCAGGACTGCTAGGGTGCTGTGTGGCTCCTTCGTGGGCAGAGGGAGGGTCTGTACCTCATGTGCAGTGTAACACAAGGTCTATGTAAAGCCTGGGCTAGATACACCACTGCTGTAGACTTCGATGTGGAGCTTCTGCTGCTGCAGAAGGGCAATCTGCTTGTGCACAGTGGGGTCCTCCTGTGCAACTTGATCAGTGCATTGCCTAGGAAACCCACTAATCCATTTAATGAATATTCACATATTGCCCAAATGCTATAAAGTGCAATGTAATTAGCAAATATCATGCTCTTGATGTGACTCACAGGGAACACAGCTAGCTAGTTTCTTCATTTATTGACCCCTCTCCAAAACTGCCTTTTTAAAGGAAGAACTAAACATGGAGTGAACAAAACAAACCTGGCCAGATTCAGCTGATGATTCAGCTTCTGGCTGTCTAGTTCTTTTGTGGTTGAAATAATAACAAATGATTTGGAAAGGAGTGTTGAGAGGTGACACAATTGGCTCGTGAGGAGCCATGAGAACTAGTGGGGAAGAGTTGCAAAAGAACCTCGCAGTACTGAGTGTGTGGGCAGTAAGTGTCAGATGAGGTTCAGCTGATAGCTGCAACACCATGCTAGGGCGATGGCCAGGCCTGTAGTTCTGACTCCGTGTAGTATGACAGGCTCTGCAATCATTTTTTACCACCCAGAAGAGCAGTGGTAGAACTATAATAGATTTATGCTAACATGGGATTCAATGGTTAGAAGCAAAGCAAAAACCCCAAATTTTAGGAGTAGAAAGGAATTAAGAGCAAAAAAACCAACATTATGGCTGTAAGTAAAACAAATACCTGTTTCTTGAATGCTCTGTGCAGTTCTAGTCCCTTGCTCTCCAGGACCTTCCATTTCAAGGGCTGTAATAGAACTAGAAGAGGTGCAGAAGGCAGCAGTCAGGGTGATTACTGGTGTGGAATGGCTTCCATACAGGAATGGTGAGATAATTTGGAATTTTAACTCTGGAAAGCAGAGAAGTGAGTAGCTTGTGACAGAGATACATGCAGTCAGGAGTGCATGAGGGTGAATATGGATCTATTGTGTGTGGTTTCTCAAAACAGAACAATGAGGAGGACGTAAAATTATCAGAGGTGATTTTTTTTTCAGGCAACACCTAAAAAATTTCCTTTTTAGGAAGGCTCTAATTATTTGTGTGGCAATTGGACAAATTTGTAGGAGAAATCCACGAAATGCAAAGATAATCTCCTTGGGGCAGGAAGCCCTGCAGTCCCACACGGTCAGGAGGGTTAGTGGGGAAGTATTACCTTGCTCATGCCCTCTCGCTAGTACTTTTTGCTACAAACTGCTAGCAGAGGCAGAGAAGTGTTGCATACATTTATTCTCTCTTAACTTGTTTTCCTTACTTTTCAACACAGTTGTAAGGTGGGTTGATGTCCCATACTAGGCAGACTTAACCATTCACTAAAAGCCATGCCACTGAACAGCAAATGGCCTATCCTTACTGCATTACTCTGCCAAGGCTCACCAGTGTGCATTCAGTTTAGGGTTAATTGCCAATGAGCACTACTGTTCCCTGCTGGGACTCCTGATTGTCCTACCTAACCTCTAGCAAACACAGAGGACTGCTTCACACAGCACTGCTGACTCCCCTAGAGTGAGTAGCACCCATGACATTTTCAGCACAGCTTGTCTCCATTTGCTGTGTTGCTGCCTAGAGTGATGAACATTAGTAATGACAGCGAACAAGCAGAAACAAACCTCAGCTATTTGCCTGGGAGTTTTGATGTGGGCAGGCTTGGTTGGAATGAGCTGCTCTAAGACTTGCCCGTCCTCTAGGTCTTTGTTGACAACTTTGTTCATGCTGACCTGCACCCTGGGAACATCCTGGTTCAAGGCCCAGCCTATGGCAGCACTAGCTGCAAGGAGCAGACGGCCATCGTGGACCTGTGTGACACACTTGTGGTGGAAGTGCAGCCGCCCCTCAGGCGGCTCTGCCTGGTGCTGCTGGATGCTGGGATCGTGGCAGAGCTGCAGAGTGCTGACATGCAGAACTTCCGGGCAGTTTTCACAGCTGTGGTCCAAGGCCAGGTGAGGCCTCTGTCATGCGGCTGGGGATGGGAGACAGCTGGAGGGTCTGATGGCCAAAGTGATGATTTTCTCTCTACTTCCCCTTACAATCCTCCCTAAGAGGGGAGAGGAGACTTGCTAGTGTGGAAGCTATACCAGACAAAGGGACAGCTAAAGCAGGGAGGCTGCCAGAGTGGAGCCATTTCACTGGCCCAGGAAACAGAAGGTGTCAAATGGGAAGCACTGATTGCCACTCCCTGGTTAGGAGCACTTCTGGTGCGAGATAGGAGTGCCTGGGAGCCACTTGCATTTCAGACACTGTTTCAGATTCTGCCAGATTTTGCTAGAGAAGAGGAGGGAATGGATTAACTTCTTGGTCTTCCACACGTGTTCCCTTCTGCAGCCTTGCTGCTGGAAAGCCATCGTCCATTTTGCTGTTGTGTCAGTGTCTGTAGAGAAGAAGCAGCAAAACGTGTGGGTGAAGGCGTCTGACCTCTGCCAGGCTCCTCTGTATAAGGGGAACTACTTTATCCTCCTGCCCACTTATTTAAAATACGCTCCTAGATGGATTAGATAATCCAGTGCTGATGTCTCCTGTTTGTTCTGAGAACAAGGGTCTGTGCCCAAACTTGCTGTTTCTCAGCTGTGGGTTGGATGGCTTGCCAGCATATCTCAAGAGGGACATGTTTTAACTTGGTCTGTTTAATCTGAAGCATACCAAGGAGTCAGCATTAAACCATATATTCAGGCCCATCCTGTGCTGCCAGACTTAATTCTCAGCTACTAAGCAAAAACTGCAAACATTTGATTGCAAGTCCTTCATGGCTCAGGCTGGGTGTAATTCAATTCATGATCTACAGGTGAAAAACTTCTACACTTTCTCATTGCCAAACCTGGGGCCTCTGGCTCTGTACATTGCTGTCAGACATGTCTTCCAAGAAGACCTTTAAAGCTTCTCTCAAGTCCAGCTTGGGTATGGCTCCCCCCCTTTCTCTTCAAGCATCTGCTGGTGTAGAATCAGCTTACTCTTCCTCTGCAGTTTACAAATGGAAGGCTGGACTTAGCCCATAAGGATATGAGATATCTTTGTTGTGTTCTACCCTACAAGACCTGCAAGAAAAATAAGCAGGGTTTTACCAGATACCAACTAAGACTTTTGGATCAGTTCTGCTCTTCCTGCACCTGCTTCTGTTGATCTGTTGGACCTCTGTTGCTGGAATGGGTAAAGCATGGCCCTGGGGGGTATGGGTAATGCATATGGGTAAATGGTATGGGTACCATTTACCCATAGAATGGGTAAAGCATTCGGCATTCTCTGTGCTGTATGCCTCCTCCAGGGATTTTTGCAGCAGCGGCCTTCCAGGGACAACAATGTGCAGCTCCCTGTAGGCCTGCTGGCACCAGTGATCAAGTTCTGATTCTCCTTTTCAACTTCTTTCACAGGGGGAGAGAGTGGCAGAACTGATCCTTCATCATGCCCGTGCTAACCAGTGCCAGGATATTGAGCGATTCAAAGCTGAGATGGCAGAACTAGTGACCAAGGTCCGGGGGAACACCATTGCCCTTGGAAAGGCAAGTGCACAATGTCCCACCCTCATTCACGTAATTCAGTGCAGCCTGGCTTTCAGAATGATGCATGTGGAAAGGCCAGCTCTGATCTTATCAGCACCACCAACCAGTACTGGGTGCTTTTAGTCTCACAGGTGCAGCAAAAATGCATAACATTTTTTCTTATTTCCTTCTAATTAAAAAAGCGTGTGGTGGGTTGTTTGGTTTTTAATCTCTAACATCTGCGGTTCCCTGTGAGGAGTTGCTGAGCTTAACTCCTGTTAGCTAAGGCCAGCCTGGGCACTTCAGAAAGTTTAGTAAGGTGCTATTGAGCAAATTAATGCATGTTGTGTTCTGCTGTGGGGTCAGATGTTCTCAGCCTTCCTGGGCTGGCAAGTAAGCAGAACCATGGTCACAGCTGAACTCCTTATCCCAGGCAGGGTGGGGAGGATCACACTTTGATGTTGGCTGTTGTCAGCCCAATAATCTTGTCCCACCACCAGAACCAAATGCTAACAAACACTTAGAAGAATCCTGCCTGTCACTCATGCAGCTCAGTGTCCTGGTTTCAGCCAGGGTAGAGTTAATTTTCTTCATAGAAGCTAGCGTGAGGCTATGTTTTGGATTTGGGATGAGAAAATGTTGATAAGGTGCCGATGTTTTGAGCTGTTGCTAAGTAGTCAAGGACAGTCCAGCTTCTCATGCTGGCCTGCAGCGAGCAGACTGGGGGTGCCCGGGAAGCTGGGAGGGGACACAGCTGGGACAGCTGACCCAGGCTGGCCAAAGAGATATTCCATACCATATAACGTCATGCTCAGCATATAAAGCTGGGACAAAGAAGAAGGAAGGGGTGGAGGGATGTTCGGAGTTATGGCGTCTGTCTTCCCAAGAAATCATTACGCGTGACAGAGCCCTACTTCCCTGGAGATGGCTGAACACCCGCCTGCCCATGGGGAGTAGTGAACAAATTCCTTGTTTTGCTTTGCTTGCGTGCGTGGCTTTTGCTTTACTTATTAAACTGTCTTTATCTCAAACCATGAGTTTCCTCACTTTTAAAAAAAAAATCTTCCGATTCTCTCCCCCATCCCACCGTGGGGGAGTGAGCGAGCAGGCTGCGTGGGGCTTAGTTGCTGGCTGGGGCTAAACCATGACAGTCCTTTTTGGCGCCCAATGTGGGGCCTGAACCCATGACCCTGATGTTATCAGCACCAGGTGTTTTTGATCAGTTGTTAACTTGTCCTTTTGTATTCCAGCTTCAGGTGGGAAGTCTCCTCTCAAATGTCTTTAAGCTATTGATGACCCATAAGGTAAGGTTCTGTCACTGCCTTCAACAGCTGGAAGTTCATTTGGGGAGGGAGAACTGCTGAAGGGCTGACAAGGAGGGGGACTGACTTCTGAAATTAACTGCTAGGAGGGGACTGTAGGAATGCATCCAAGTGTTGCAGGCATGCTGTTTCTCAGGTCTTGATCCACACCCTACCAAGACCAATTTCTGTGTTGTTAGGTTTTATCTTAATATGGCATTTAATGGTTGATATTATTTACTAAAATGGATGTTTCTGTAACACACAGCTTTTCCTATCTTTTTTGGTAGTCTGTTAGAAGCAGAAAATGAAATCTTGTACATCATTGCATGGTTTCTTCCCTGAAGCTCTTTCTGGATGTGGGGTGGTTATGTAACAGCACTAGGCCATTTTACCGGTTTGTGAGAGGCCTCAAAAGTGAGAAGTTTTTCACAGAACAGAGCTTCCTTCTTGTAACTGATAGTATTTGGGGGACAAGTTTCCATGGTTGCAAGCAACTTTGGAAATCAACAGAGATATGGTGGCCTGAACTAGAGGAGAGGAGAAGGCTGTCAACCACAGGGCTGCCCAGCCTGCAAAGGGTCCCTCTAAACATTCTGTATTTAGAGGTTTTTGTCATTAAGCCTCATTAAGTTGGTTTCTAATAACATGGTATGTAATTTATGCTATTACAAATCAAGTCCCCCTCAACTCCAGGAATTCTTAATGCCCTGGAACAATTCTGGTGCCTGGCTGGGAATTGGGGCGTGGTTTGTTCATGTGCAGAGCAGAGGATTGTTTCCTCTGTGATCTGTGGGGCTCTTTTGTGGCTGTTCAGACGCTGAGCCCTCCCTTACACAAGTGCATGTGTTCAAGTATGTTGGATACTACCACTACATTAGCAGTGGTGAGCACTCCTAAACTCTTGCTATTCTGGTATGGAAGAAAAAAAAATCCCCTTCCCCTTCTTGGAACTGAAAAACACTTTCTGATTCCCTTAGGGCACACAATTACTCTGAAACTGTTGCTTTATTTTTGGGCCTGCTGCTGGATTTCAGTGAGTTCTGAAACTCCAAGTGATGGAGTTGCAGTATAGTTTCAGGTGTGCCTATGTTCTCCCCAGCCTCTTTCCTTCCCTCTCAGCTTAGCCAGTGCTGGTACCTCTGTGGAATGGACTCAGGAATTGAAAATAAGGTCTGCTGAGTCCATTTAGTCTCTTGTGGTTCTAGGTGAAGCTCGAGAGCAATTTTGCTTCCATCATCTTTGCCATCATGGTTCTGGAAGGTCTTGGTCGTTCACTGGACCCTGAACTGGACATCCTTGAGGCAGCTAAACCACTGCTCATCAGAACTGCAGCTTCTGTCCTTGAATAGACTCTTGTGGTTGCTGCCCTCTCCCTGTGCAGGGTCACTTACGCCATCCATGGGCAGACAGAGAAAGAAGCTGAAGGGGAGAAGTCGTGTATCTTGGGGCCATGCCATGCAGTGGTCACTCTCCATTAAAGTTGCCTTCAGTTGTTTCAGCCAAGCACCAGGCATGGGATGATTAGAAAGTCTATTCCAGAAACCAGGAAGACTTTGCACAATTGGAGAGTTCTGACTCATTATGCAGTTCTGTGAGCTAATATGCTCTGGTAGTTTTTAAACTGACATATCATGTAGTTTAGGTGCACAAGATCACTGCAGCCTGATGAGAAAAGCAGTCTTACATGTCTAAAAGTCTTTAAAAAGATGTTCATTGATCAAGTCTCTCTTGAAATGTATCAGGTTAAATATTTAGTTTACTGACTTACCTGTTACTGTATTATGAGAAATTATATTCTAACACCATCTAAGCAACTCAGTCAGGCTTAACAAAGCCAATAAGCCTATTTGTCTTTTGTACTTTTAACTCCTACTTTTATTGTAGAAGCGCCCTGAGTTTCTGCATGGAGTGGTCTTTTCTTAATCATTTTGGGTGGTAAAAACAGACCAGTCAATGTGTTCTGTTTGTTTTTAAACTTCTGTACCCTTAGCACTATACTGTAGGAGTCTGGATTATAAACAGCAAAAGAAAATATTTGCCTAGGCAAAAAATCCAATTCCATAATAAAAAACAAATTTTGGGAATATTTGTACTTGTCTCTTTTTTTTTTTCCTGAAGCCTAAAAAAAAGTCTTTTGTTTCTGTGTGCTTCCTTCCTACTACTTTCCCCATTGCTCCCTTGTCAACTCTCAAGCTTAACTAATATGCAAATTCTTGGGTTTTTTTTCTAGTAATTTGCAAAACAGAGTCCAATGGAAAACACATTGTGAATGTTTAAAATAAAATAAAGCCAGCAAAAAAAGCTAGGTCATACATGGCTTTTACAGTCAGTTATTTTAATAATAGTATTAAAATTATTTTATGGCTATATTTTAGTAGTGAGAAACACAGTTTATGAATTATTGGAAATGCCATAATACTGAATATATTCCCAGATATACCATATGTGAAATTGCAGTAGCACAGGGTTGCTGCAGTGGTGTGTTTTTGGAGAAAGTACATAAGCAGGCAATCTGCTGGTTTATGGTGATTGTAAAGTAATGATTAATGATATATAAATGAAGTCTGAAAAATAAGTTTATACTCTGCTCAACATATTTCATATACTTTAATCATTATGTATTCCATTTCCAAATGCTTAAGGATAAAAGCAGAAGTAGAGTTTAACATCTTTTAAGTTTTAGACTTGTTTCAGTAAGTCCAGTTAGACTTGAACTCAGTACTAGCTACAGTGTTATCTTAACTAGCACATAATTTTGCATAAAAGAGAACTCAAAAAGAAGAAAAGCAAGCAAGCCTCAAACTTTCTGTTAAAGTTATGCTGCCAGCACCCCTTTTCCCTCAGTAGTGTATATGCACCCTCCTGCTCTCACCCAGCTGATGGGGTCAAGGTGCCAGGCACAGCACTCTGCAGTGTGAGGGGGCTGGGCAAATCTACCAGTTATGCAGGCCTTGGGCACAGCCACCTTGTTCTCGCTGAGCAAATTTCAGCCAACTTTTCCAGATGCTAAACAGAGCTTAAACCAAATGATACAATCCCATGTCTAAAATGCAAAACTGTGCTTCACATCTAGTTTCCATATATGCAGAAAGTTATAATTTCTTTCAGGCCTTGATTTAAACAAAATGTCAAAGCCTTTACCTTATATATAGGTTCATCTTTCCTTTTCCCTGTTTTTAAAAACAAAAATCTCAGAATGGTTCATGCATATTATGAATCCTAAAGTTAAAAATACCCCTTTTAGCTACTAAGGTCTTAAGGTCTCTCATCTAGATGTTTACAAACCATTCTGTCTTTTGAGGGGAAGCAAAGCTGAAGGCATAGCCTCTTGGTTATCTCTGGAGGAACAGAGTCTGATACTTAATGCTAAGAAACTGCTGGCCATTCAAAAAATTTGGCAGAATTTCAAAGGGCTTCCCTTTTACAAGTTTTCTTATTTTTGTTTGTTTGTTGGGTTTTTTTTTAGAAGATGCTGCTATCACTGGTTCCTGTGAAAGGGGTGAATTTTTGTAATACTTAGGCTTTTGCTGAGTGATGTGCTAGAAAATGTGTAACATGTTTCTAAGCGTACACAGAACATCAGGCAACAACATTTAAATTTTGTATCTAGTTTTGTTCTAGATATTAGTTAAGACAAGGTATTGCAAATATTATATATATTTTAGCATAATTTTGCATAAAATAAGAACATCTTTTGATACAGCTCTGAGTGTTCCAGCAAATAAATTGTGCCATGTCCGTTCTCCTTTTTTAAATACCCACATGAAAAGAACAGTTGCATTTCTGGCTACCCAAAGCTGATAATAGCATTCTCTGTGACACAACTGCTGCATTTTGTGCCTCTGATGGTATGAGGAAGCGGGACACTTCAGGATGTGACAAACCTGACCTCCTCCTCTTCCTCACATTTGTGAATGAAGGCACCTTCACTCATTGGCCTATAATGCTTTAAAAAACCTCTTCTCTCCTGTTGCAGAAAACTGTCTCTTGATGTGCCTCGGTGTTTCCTTTCAGGGGAGGAGCCGGTAGCTTGCCAACGGGAGTGGCTGACACCGCATGCTTGGCTAAGGAAAGTCAGTAATGCACCTAGAATATCAGGGGAATCATGAGCAAGTTGCACTGTGGACTCCAGCTGGTAACTCCATTTTAACCTATAGCCTGAATGGGGAACTTTTCTCCTCCTATAGCGCTACTGGCTACCTTGGTTTCTTACCCAATTTGTTAAAACTATCAATTACCAATTCTTTTGTCATTGTAGCATTCTCCTCATTTATTCATGGTGAACAAGAAGTCTGTTTATTCTGAGCGGGCAACCTATCTGCAAAGATATCTGAGTAGGTTTCTGACATAAAATGTCCTGCTTTTGGAGACTGCTAGCATGAAAGTAAGATCGTAGGCAGAACAAACTCCCAAGCCCACTACTGGCTTTGGTGATTGTCTAAAGACAGGTATGTCAGAGAACAGACATTTTTCTCATCACAATGCCTAGAAAAGGTGGCTTGTCACCAAAAAAAAAAATCTTCCTTTTTTCATTTTGGATGTCTAAGTCATTCCTCCTTTAGGAGAGTGGCCTACGTATTCCAAGCAGTACATATACCCCAACAGTAGAAGATCTACACTTAGCTGAAGCCCAAGCTGGAGGGTTCCAAGTTGTCTTACAAGGTTTTCTGAAGCACCTCTCATGTCACTGGATCCCTGCCCTGCACCCTACTATGGTTTTGTCAGGAAGTAGCACAAGTCATGTGTATGGGGACTTCTTCCCGATGGATGTCTGCAACTCACGTGCAATGGGACACTTGCAAGAGTCAGTTGTTAATAATGGAAACTGCAGGGGATAATTTACATTGTATTTTAGCATGTACATTTTCATTGCTGCTGTTTGGGTTTGTTTAACATCCAGCTGGTCTCTAGCTCTCCTTCTCCATATTTCACGTAATGTAAACAGAGCAAGGTAAGTCATATGATGACAGCATCACATAACTACCCTTCCTATTTTATGTGGTCCCTGACCTTTAAGAAATATGCTCTTCTGGCGCTGCTCTGGAAGAAACACAGCAGGGCAGACAGAAAGTTCCCAGAATTCAGCAGTGGAAGCCTTTTCAGTCCTGTATTTAATTTCCCTGCAGGCTTGTATTAGCAGGACGTAAGCTGCGCCTGTGCTTCCACCACTTCACTTGAGGGACTCATTCCCAGGGCCCTTCTCCTGACTTTCATTCTTGTTCTTCACCTCCTATTCTATTGTACAGCCCATGCCCTCCCTTAACTAATTCCTTTCTCTGTCATTGGCATCTCAAAAGCAGCTACAACCTGATGCCTCTCTGCCAGGCTCTAGGTCTTGTGCGCTTTGAATCACTTTTGTAACTCCCAGGTCCTCTGTTGCTCCACTCTAGATTGCCCCGCGACACTTTCACCAGCCTCAGACCACAACGCTCAGCACTACAGGCACTGATTCCTTGGGATCCTGCAGAAAAAGGCAGCCCCCGTCAGATGCCTTTGGGGCAGAAACTCGGCACTATGGCTGTGTTCCATATTAAATACCAAGGTAGCTCTTGGTTGCAGAGTCTGTCAGCAGGGTCACTGCACATGCATAAGACAGAAGAACAGTTTGATAGAGATGGACTAGAGTAGTAACTCCAGAAAGAAAGGCATATAAAGGACGGAGCAGTGAAAAATGCACTCTGCCTGCTACGGAGGGAGATTAAAGACTTCTCCAGGAATCATAATTCCACTTGTCACAACTACACTCAAGCACCCAAGCTCCAGCACACAGACTCGCACCCACAAGATACAGATTAGGTCTGTGAACTGCCCAAGGGCCTGCTTACCTGCTCTGCAGCTTCCTTATGCTATCAGTGATGCCCGGAGCATCAAAAGATTCCGTTCTCTGAGGTACTGCTGGAGGTCACAGAGCTTTTGGCCTTCTTTTTTCATCTTCTGGCGTGAACGGTCTCTGCTCTGGAATACTCTCCCTTTGGCAGCCTGCTGCTGTTTTTGTTGCCTGTCCTGCTCCTGTGATTCTTGTTTCAACGTTTCCTGCTGTGACTGCATTCTGCTCCTGAGAAAATTCTACATAAAAATAAAGACATCTACAATTGTACTGCCAGCTTTCATACTGAATTTCATACACAGTTACCACTGGCAGAAGTCAGAAATTGGTATAAGCTATGGAAATTAATTTCTTGCATGCAGAAAGACTCCTTCTACCACAGAGATGGAGAATTTTACTTCCCATCTTTCATCTTTTATACATGTTAAAAAAAAAAAGTTACCCTTAATTTATTAATCTCTAAATGATATAATTACATTGGATATAAAACAGGTGAAAGACAACTATTCTGGATAGTGCCAC